CACACAAATACATAAAAATTGTTGAAATCAGAAGAGATACGACTCTCTCTCAATATCAATTGACTAATTGATTCATCTGTTTGTACAAATACAGTTGGGTAATTTGATTTATGACCAGCCAACATATTAATTATGTTTATTATGAACAAACTTTAATTTCTGTCTGAAGTAGCAGTAATTACACAACTGTTGAACAAATGTCGAGGGTGATCAGCTACCTCCCACCTCTGGTGTTGCAAATATATTTTTGTACTTTTCCTGTAATTACATTGTAATATATCCTATGCATAATATGAATATATTGTGTGTTTGTAATGTGGTATTGCCACTTTAACTCAAGTAAACAGGTAGCCTAAATGATCTGGAAGTTAAACCCCCTCTCCTCATGCAGGGTTATTTTCTTCCAGGGCTGAAGTTGAAGTGTTATTTCAGGGCAGCACAGATAGACATGCGCACAGCTGATGGGAGAGAGGCACATCTGCACTGACGTCAACCCCCCAACTCCTCCAACTCCCCCCCAGCTCAGCCGCAAAAAAAAAAAAAAAAAAAAAAAAAAAAAGCTGCCAATTTGAAGCTGTCCTGGACTGGGACATACCCGGTCTGTGCAGATGTAGTGAGGAGGAGCAGCCCCGAGCCAACTTGTGCTGGTGTTTGCATGGACGTCTCCCTGAGGCAGGTCCGCTGCGCGCTGAGAGACTGTGGCACAACACCCTCCGCAACCTCAACTAACTTTTTAAGCCAATCTGTGCCACCACCAGCAGCAGCACAACAACAACCACCAGCAGCAGCAGCAAGAACACAAAGTCTAGATTATATAGACGACTGATGGGCTGGAAATAGACCCTGGAGGAGATCCAACACTTGAAAGACTGACTGACTGTGTGTGTGTGTGTGTGTGTGTGTGTGTGTGTGTGTGTGTGTGTGTGTGTGTGTGTGTGTGTGACAGTGTGTGGTGAGAGATACTGCTGCTGCTGCTGCTGCTGCTGCTGGACTGAGAGGGAGAATCACAGAGGATGGCAGAGTCCAGGAGGAGATGAGAAGAGCTGAGGAGGTCTGTCTGTTTGCGGAAACTTCACAGTCTTTTTTGTCCTGAGCTCTCTCCCTGCACAGTTGGACCGGAGCTGCCAATATGAAGATGAGCATGGTAACATTTCTCCCGTTACGCTGCCCGTCTGTTCAGAGCAAAGGACGATTTCTTTCCGGGCACTTTTTAGTCGGCAGGCAGATTCGTGTGTGAGCATTTAAATCCTCTCAGGGAAGCGGACATTGTTTGCAAACCAGTTGACCCGCTCATAGAGTTTCTTTGCGCGTAGTGTCAGTGTTGGTGTACTTTTGGAGACATTTACGCACAGTCTCTCCAGCTGCAGGGTGTCACTTTTGCACCGTTGCAGGTCTGCAGTCCGCGTCTGGCTCCTAAAACTTTACTAACTAGAAAAAAAACCCCACACTTCCTGACAAAGGGAGGTTCACGCCTTTTTGCAGCAACCCCTCGGTTGGTTTATGATCCGCAGGCGCTTCTCGGGGCTCGTATTTGGGGAGGCACCGGTGCAATGCACACGGGCCAGCGGCCAACTGTCTGGGTCAGAGTGGCCAAGTAGGTAGCGCTGTCTGTCTGGTGTGTCTGGAGCGCTGCAGCTTCGCGCACAGCTCAACATGTACGTCTCCAAAGCCCTGCTGCTTTCCAAAGGCTGTCTGGCTGTCAACCGTCCACTTTTCACCGGGCACCATCCCTCTATCGCCCGGATCCGCTGACGTCTGTTTATACTGGTGTCGTTGGCGCATGCGAGCCGCGTCAGTGAGTAAACCCACAACCTGCACAGATTAGAATCGTGTCGGCCGGTCAGATTTATGCTTCTCTTCAGGTGTGATCGTGGCGCTTCAGTGACACTTGTGTAGCTTTATATCACATCTAGGTCTCTGGCCATTAACCTGTCACCTCCAGGGATCTATGTTTTAACAGGCGCTTTGCAGGAAAGTCACCAGATTCTGGTCATTTGTTCTGGAAGTGACACATTTCATGTTGGATTTAAAAGATGTGTTGACTGAGAGACTGCAATTCAATGATGATGAACTTTGTGAGAAATTTTCATTCATTTGTGACTATTTCCTTAAAGCTGCAATCACCAGTTGATTAATCAACCGGTTGATCACAAGGACATTTAATTTGGTAATCGCCTGATCGCTTCACTCAAACTTTAAGCCAAAATCCAGCTAAATGAATGTGGACATATGCTACTTTTTGGTTCTTTACATTGTAATTCAACAAATGTGTGTTTCTCTGTCTTGGTCAGATCAAAAAAACTATGACAAGGTGTAATTGACATGTTTTTTCAAGATTTGTGACTTTTCTCTTTACAAAATGATTCCTGTGTTAATCGATATTGAAGATAAATATATTATGTATCCCTTATTTTCATCACTGATTCTTCTACCAATTAAGGTTTATTAAGTGATTAAACATTTGGTTCATAATAGTTCAGAAAAGAGTGAGAAATGCCCATTAGATCATTATCATTGTCATTTTTATGGACACAATAGATCAATATAATATTAGGATAGTCTCCAGTGAATTTTCTGTTGATTAACAAATCGATAAATCAACTGCTTGTCTCGGCTCCACAACAGACAACAAGAGACCTCCAATTGATTGATTTCCTATCTTCACAGGAATGCAGATGGATTGGTCAAGACAAGTTCCCAATATAGAGCTTCCCATTTGGTGTAACACCTGAGAGTTACAGTGTCTGATGGATTACGGTGTTTTCTACGAGCTGCTGACATGAATTCAGAGGCCAGTGGGATGTGGAAATGCTCGCCTTCAGGAGAAATCTGAGACTCGGATGAGCCCTCGAGCACAACGAGAACTTTTAAGTGAAGGAGATAAACCATGGACTTGTTATGGTGTGGCATCGAACCGACCGTGTGCTTTTAACCCGTTTGTAGCACCCTCTACCCCCACCCCATGTCCCATCTTTCCCTGAATTATGGAAATTTTGTGGAAGACGCTGACTTGGACACTGAGCCTGGTGGTGATGGCTGCTTCTGAATTTCAAAGCGTCAACAGACTTTCGCACAACTCTCAAGGTATGATGCCGACAGGCCGACAGAAAGATTTTGTTGTAACAGTATGTTCATTATCACAACATCTTCTCTTCTCTATTCTTTCCTTTCTCCTGTAAAAGAGGAGTTCCTGTCCAACCTGCAGCACTTCCAGCTGACTGTCCCGGTGCGGGTGGATGAAAACGGAGAGTTCTTGAGCTACACTGTGAAGCATCACCGGCCGGGCCGACGGAGACGAGGGGCGGTGGACCCAATAATGGGACCAGTGCCGGCGTTGGACCCGGACGCTCCCGAGTCCCGGCTGTTCTACAGACTGTCAGCCTACGGAAAGCACTTTCACTTAAACCTGACGCTCAACCCCCACCTGGTGTCGAAACATTTTACAGTGGAGTACTGGGGCAAAGAAGGGCTGGAGTGGCGTCATAACATGGTAGATAACTGTCACTATGTCGGATTCTTGCGAAATCAGCACAGTACGACCAGAGTGGCACTCAGCAACTGCAAGGGCCTGGTGAGTACAATGTGGCATTGAAATTATTATTAAATGTGATCAGCTCACACTCTCTAACAGCCCTTTGTGCCACAAAGAGTTCAGACTACTTACCTCAAACAAACCCCTACTAATACTAATGTCAGAATATATACCTAGCTTGTGCTGCTCTCATGTCAGCCAATCTTTCAGAGGCAGTGCCAAAGGATTAGACCAATTGTAGTTTGCTTAACACGATCTTGGCCTCTTTCCACTTGGCACACTGAGTCTGCAGGCAGCTCGGAGCAAGGTGATGCTCATGTAGAGAAATCACATCATCACGCTGATCCGTGAGTGTTCTGCATCGGGGGTTTTCTTTCCAATCTGTCCATGGAATATCACACTTGAGGCACTAATTTTAAAAGCCTCAGTAGTTCAGATCACATTTCTTCAGTTGATCCTTCTTGTGATCTGTAAAATAATGTGTCTAAATCATACCTATTACATCATTCCGAAGAGCTCTTTTCAAAAATAAAACTGAACACCGCTAACAAGGCGTCTAATTATCCTGTCTAAGTGTTTAGTCCTCGGGCCTTTATCCTCAGACTGTGTGACTGTCCAGCTTCTCTTTGCTAATCAAGGAATTGGAAGAAATTTTAATAGCCGTTTCTCCTTCTTGCTTCAGAATAACTCTAAAGAAGGAAAAAAAGGGCCCTGCTTCTTATTGTCAAATGTAATCATGTGGAGAAAACGTGTAGCCAAATGTGTTGGCAAGACCCACACCGAGTATCATAAATTGAATTAGTGTTTGCCCTTTTTTCGAAGAGCACCAAAAATGGACAAATATGTGTCTGCACTTTAATGTAATCAGCGATCTGCACAGTTTGGGATCTTGACATCACTCACTATTAAAAGCCCTAATATGTTTCTGTTTGCTAGTGTGATGATTGGTTTTACAAAATCAAACTATTGTTGTGTACAAACCTTTTTTTAAACGACTTCTCTATATTGGTATTGGAAGGCAAAGAAACTAATTTTAATATGGGGCCTTTGATTTACTATTGCATGTACTTAAACATGGCCCCATCAGAAAGAGGAGATTACATGGATAGATCTATATTAATCGAAGGGCTACACCAGCTTTATTACACTTTGAGTCATGCAGCAGACATCATTTATAGGGAATGGTCAAAGATTATGAGTCTTACTTAAACAATGATGTATCCTACATTTCCCAAAATGTAACTTAATAGCATTTTTCATGTACATAAAGCAAAGGCTGCTTTCACTCCACTAGCTACTAGCTAACCTGTGATAGCCTGGTAGCTATCTGCTAAGCTCACCGTCAAATGTGAGTTGTCGGAATTTAGTTGTTAGATAAATCTTCACTACAGCAGATTTTTTGATTTCATCATTGTCATTTTTATTCATGGAAATCACCAACAACCTTATGAAGTCATTCTTTCAACTTCCTGGTTGTATCTATGCAGTCGAACTTTTACAGCATTAAGTTCGAGTTATATTTTAATTATTAGTGTAGCTGCAAAACGTGACTTAGGAATAGGACTCATACTAGTGCTAAGCGTTCACTTGGCTGTTTGTATGCAATCACATTGAATCTAAAGTTTGCTTTGCATTCTGTCTGAACACACACATATAAACAAATGTGTAAAATAGACGAAGTGTCCTTTTAATAGCAAGTACAAAATAAGAAGTACTAAACATAAATGTTGTTTTTTCCTGCATTATTTACTTCAGTGCTGTTGTTTGCTTGTGTTTGTAATCTGTTTCTTTCATTGGTTTTCTTTCCAAGCATGGTGTTATAACAACAGAGGAAGAACAGTATTTAATAGAGCCATTAAAGAACATATCCTCCACCACCTCCAGCGAATGGAACCTGGAAGAAGCACAGCAACATGTTATTTATAAAATGTCTGCCATTCCCTCACCGCAAGAGCATAGCCAGGAGTTCAGCTGTGGCATTTCAGGTTGGTGAACCTCCATCTGGGTTGGACTCTGTGTGGGTGGAACTGACGTAAAGGAAGAACTATACATAGCAGGTTAGAGGAAGTGCTGGTTTGGTTCTAGGCCCAGGTTCTGGTAGACATGACCGGGCCTCTTGTTTGCTATAGTTGCTGCTGGCCTGGACACCTTTCAACCTGTTAGAGAAAGTCTCCCTCCAGCTTTCATAAAAAGCCCTTCACTGCATAAAGAGTACTTGGCTCCGACTTTTACTGAAGCACAAATCCTATTTATAGAGCCAATAATCATGTTCAGATTTTGAAATATAGACAACCCAGTGCCCCCAAATACTCTGACTGCTCAGATATGACGAATTGGAAAAAGAACCAGGTGGATATTTAGGTATTTGGGCCAAGGTCTTATAAGAAACAGCAAAGGCTGTCATCGCCAGGAAGCTAACATGCCCTGACATGTACCACCTTATAGCTTTTTCCCAGAGCATCTGGGTCATAAAGCAAAAGGCTTTAGCCGCAAGGTTCAAAGGGGCAGATTCTCTATGTGCATCAACCACACACAAACCAGCTCTCTCACAAAGATGACGCATCATGATTTTGGTGTAAATTGTTGTTTCATTATTTACAATAACCTGCCGTTGTCTCCCTGTCATCCACAGACCTCATTGAAAGCAGTGCACCTTGCCAGCATAACACAACTTCCCCTGTCCACTTGTCCCCTGTTCCCCAAAATGACGGGCCTTCGAACAGCACTCACAGACAGAGACGCTCTATCAGCACAGAGCGCTTTGTGGAGACGCTAGTGGTCGCTGATAAAATGATGGTCGGTTACCATGGACGCAAAGACATTGAGCACTACATCTTGTCTGTAATGAATATTGTAAGTTTGATCCTACTTTTTGGTTATGTTGTCCTTTCAAAGCAAACAGTTGAACATACAGTTTTGTCCAATTTAGTCTGTGGATATGTAATGTAATGTGTAGGGTTGCATCAAACAATTATTTATTCAATCACCTATTTATTTATCAGTTTCTTTGAGATTATCTAATTAATTGTTTGATTGTTTGGAAAATGTCACCAAACAGCCCACAGTAAGGGCTTCAAATGTCTTGCTTTGTGTGACTAACATTCAGTGTAACAACATGCACAACAAATTCTCACATTTGAGAGGATAGAACCAGCATACATTATGCAGTTTAGCTTGATAATGGCTAAAACAATTATCAAATTATTTGCTGATTAATGCTCAAGGAGTGTGTTGCAGAATAGCCACTGAAAGTACTTCATGAAGGAAGATCTGATGTTGTCACATATGGACACAATTTGTCTGACTTTGTGTCTTTTCTTCTTTTCTGGAGGTCAGGTTGCCAAACTTTACCGTGATGCCAGTCTAGGAAATGTTGTGAACATCATTGTGACCCGGCTGATTGTTCTGACTGAAGATCAGGTAACAAAAATAAATCAACTTTTCCCTCCTGAACCCTTCTCTGTTTCACAGTTTCATTTATTAACTTTGAACTGTCCATGCAGTATTACCACAGTTATTACCATGAGCCTGTTTTTATAGCGTCTGTAACCTCACCTGTAGTGAGAATATAAGTTATACATCTGGCGTGACTGAGCTGTGGTATTTTATGTGATTGCTGTGGCTGAAGGGAAGAGAGGAGAGACTATTCACCATATGGCCAACGCTTAAGATAAAAGATGTGCTTTGGCATCTTCCCTCAGGGAGCATTGACTGAGGATTTTTACATGCACTGTACATGTGTATGTATGTGTTATGAGAGAAACAGTGTCCTAGCATCTGTTTTTGTCTGAAGGGGGTCATAGAGGCTCCTTATGTAGCATCAGGTCCAAAAATCTAGTTTTCATGTTAAGTGGAGCCGCACTTTGATCCACATGGATGGCTCGTCTGTCAGTCTTGGTTTTGGATGATCTCAAATGAAAATACAGCCTCAAAACATATTATGGTGAGAGTGAATCACTGATCTGAGCTGCAAGCTGAGTTCAGCACATCTTCATCTTGTAATAGTTTAATATAATAAAAACTAGTACATAAGGAGATTCATTTTGCTGACTCCACTACAACTTCCCCAGTTGTCCTTCTTTTCCTACTTTCCACTTCTGCTTTTTATAAAATTTCAGCTAATCTTAAAATAGAGTATCTTCTCTCCTGCTATAAAAGGTTTTTTACCTCGATCAGTACTGAATATAGGCGTAAATCAAAGACAAAAAAGTTTATAGTGTGCCAAAAACTTGTTCTCCAACCTCCCTCTGATCCCAGTTCAGTCCTCCTTCAAATAATTCATCCAGAATTACACACACACAATCGTTCCCCTCAGGCGGCTGGAGTGGTTCAAACATTGTCAGCGTTGTCAACACATGATAGTTTAGTGTCACTTTCTCTTCGATGTTACCTTTATTGGACAGTAGACGATTGTGACGGACAGAGAATTGGGGGAGAGAGACAGATGTGACATGGAATAAAGGCCCCTGCCTGTGATGGAAAACTGAACTGTGGTCGCTCAGCTATGTGACACCACCATGCCATATGCTTTGAAAGATATTTGCCCAGAAATGCTGTATCACAACTGCTGTCAATCAGTCCACAGGTATTCTCCATTAAAAATATCTTTTCAAGTTTTTGGGTATTTAGTACTGTAGAGTGTACGATGTGACACAATATGAGACAGAATGACACAGCACAATACCATATGACCCATTATTTTAGGAAACAATATGAAACGGCATGGCATCATACATCAGAAAAGGATACAAACTTGTTATAACTCATAAATTATACAGCCTGACAATACATGATATGACATCATGTAGCACAACGTGATGAGCACAATACAATACAATGCAATACAACACAATAAGTTATCATTACTATTAGATAACAATGTGACATTAACACATGTTGGATCTTGGATTTTTCTAAGTCAGGGGTCATAAAGGGGCCACAACTAACACAAAGGGGCCGATTATAGGTCCAACATCCATGCACAATTCCTGAATTAGTAAGATGCACATTTAAACTTCAAAGAAGCTTCAAAAATAGAAACTCCTCACAAATTGTCATATTCATTGTTAGTATTGTTAGTAAGAGACTAGCTTATTGAAAAATAAGGATGAAAAAAAACAACTGACAAGACAGGGGTAAGAATAATGTTAGTATAGTATTGCATTCGTTCACATCCTCAATATGATATCACACAATTCAATATGATTCAATACAACATGCACAAAAGGAAATGACATAACAAAATGTGACATAAGACAATGCAGTTTAACAGACATGACACAACACCTCATGATACGGCACAATGTGTGTTGACATTATCCTATAGAATGTGATATTGTAATGCACTGGAAGAGACTGTAGGGTTTGATATTATTGTAACACTGTTGCATGTGTCGTTTGTGTTGAATTTGCAGCCTAACCTGGAGATCAACCACCATGCTGACAAGTCTCTGGACAGTTTCTGTAAGTGGCAGAAGTCCATCTTGTCTCATCACGGCGACGGCAACAGTATTCCTGAAAATGGGATGGCTCATCATGACAACGCTGTCCTAATCACACGGTAAGTGCAGACTCTCATCTACGGGATATGGACTACATATCCTCACATGCCAGTATAATGGTGCTGCTGAGTTGTTCTTTCGGCTTTTACTTTCATTGGAAGTAGCGCTAATTGTCTAATTTTGAGCAAATAGGTTGCAGGTTGCTTTCTGTACTGTTGGCTCATAAAAGCTACGCAGTCACGATTCAGCTTCTGATTGTAGTCATGTGTGTGTTTGCTAATAGAGGTGGCCAGCAGGTTCAGCAGTGAAACCTCCAAATGTCCAGTTCTTGTGCACACCCTTAACCTGTAACCATTAAAGCTGATGGGAGCAAACACCTAAGGTCTGAAAGTAAAATGTACTGTTTCAGACTTGCTCTACCTGTCACGCTACAATTTATGTTAAGGGTGTTACCATAAAACAGCAAAACTCTGTCATTACCTGGAATAGGCTTCATTGTTGCCAGAACTGTTTTGGCTACATAACCTAGCAACTGAAGAGTACATTCCCCCCCCCTGGTTTTGTTTAAAGAGAGGATGGTGCTCTGTGATTGACATGGGCTAAAGCCAAGATGTTTGACTCCATGGGCTCTGCACAAAACAGCCTTTCTATCATTAGTGTGCTCATGCTTGTTGTCTGTCAGTTGATGTTCTCCAGCTGCTTTGGCTCATGTTTTTATTATTGGTTTTAGCGTCACTTCGCAAGAACCAGCAGCAAAGACTTAGTAGCTTACTGGTGTCTACAGACAACAGTTATGGGATTTATCTCAGGGGCTGTAATTGTTTCTAGTTCTTTTGTAGGACATGATATAACGTCTCATTGTTTAAAGATGCCGAACACCTCTTGGAACTGTTTTGAAGCTTACTCATCCATATTTAGCAGCCATATTCTCCACAAAGGGTAATTTGGTAATTGTCAGACCAGGTCTACACATGCCAACCTGCACCACCCATAACGAGAAGAAATTCACAGCAGCAGCAGTTTAACATCACAGATGTACACATGTCAATGTTGCCACTTACACTACCTTGAAACCTTGTTGTATCTAACGTGCTAGCAAAAATAGTCAATTTCTAAACTTAGCAGAGACAGACCACCAATATCATCTCAATGGAGACCTGACAAATGCAAGTTTAGGATTACCTCTGTAGCTTTCGACTCTGTTTTGTTCTCCAACAACTCTGGAAAATTGGTTTGTCAGAGCTTGATTATTAATAGAAAAAGCAACTTATATTGAAAAAATGATCTGGCTAAAAGAAAAAGCCAGAGCCAAAAACAAATGAGCTTAGATATCTATATTAACATGAAAGTATTAAAGTTTTTTCTCCCACACAGGAAATCAGATTATAGATTATACCAAATACTAGACCCCAGTTTTGTAACCAACATGAGGACATACTTGTCCACTGTGCTGAATGTTGATGGTGCTGTTATTCATCTCTATCAGGAGGAGGCTCTGTGAGTCTGAGCCAAGCAGCAGTGTGAACGAAGGGTCAGCGCTGACGTCTTGGGCGAGGAGCAGTGGACGTGAACGTGGCAGCTCATACAGGTGGCCATCAAACGTCACCACAAACTGATCCGCCACCAGCAAAGCTTGGTCTTTTTACATGGAGACAAAGATTAAAACAGCAAAACAGATTTAAGGTCCTTGAAATGAATCCTTGTCCATTTGTCTTTAAGACAGGAGTAATTTAACAAACGCTCTTGGTAACAGTCACACCATTTTTACAGTTAATTAACAAATGCTTCTAAACTCAGCACGCTCAACTAGTGATCAAGCTCCAACTAAAATAATGAATTATGTTTCAAAATGACTGAATCATTTATTCCCAGTAATTCAACCAATTTTTTCCAGAATCTTCCCAGAAAATAATCAGATAATCAAGTAATGGACAATAAATACGCTTAAAATAAATGTAACTAATCCCTTTATTAAAGCTGTCTCATGTACAAAGGTGAGTGTGTTTTACGTTTAAACGGGCTGTCCATGATCTTCCTCTTGAGGCGGTAAAGTTCCGCTGTGGGTCTGATGGCGGCGAGGGTCTGCAGCGGCCTCAGGAGCCACTCCTCTAGAAGGACCTCCACCAGTCCGTCCTGCGGCAATTTCGACTTGGGGAACGATGGCAGCGTTACGGACACAGTCACTGAACACTCACTGAAGAAACAAAAGCGCAATAGCACATCAAATCAAAACTTTGAAGGTTGTGGTCAAATCAGTTCAAACTGTAACATTAATATATCTATATACCCTGTCTGTGAAGATTCTCAGTCATCAAGGTCACAATATTAGAGAGCTACACTGGACTCGCGTAAACAAAAGGCTTCTTAATTTCTAACTGACTAAGTGGGGAGTCCCAGACATGCAACATTGAAATTACTGATGTCAGTCATTAACTTGGGCCACAGGGTAAACCACTCCCATTTGACAACGGTGAGCCTCAAAATGTTATTCTTCCTCCTGGCATCATTAAACCCATAAAAACTGACTTGTGTTCAGTTTTTACTGTGAAAAAAAAACACATATGAGATGCACATTAACCCTGTTTCTATTTGCACTCCTCAGCTGCTCATATGCTGCTCTGACTCTGCTCATCAAAAACACAAACCTCTAGTTATTATCTGTTTTGTACACGACACGATGGAGAGTGGGATCGCTACACTTTCACATAAAGAATCACCTCTCTGACCTGTTAAATGAAAGAAACAATTTTCTTTATATAGATCTCAGACATGTAAAGTACCTGGGGGAGAGTTTGTAGACAGAGGCCAGACGTTTCCTGACTCCAGACAGAGCCATGGCCAACCTGGTCTCCATCCACTGATAGGTGTGCTGTCCTGCCTGATTCACACAAAACATTATTTAATACACATGAGAATGTTTACATCCATATTAATATTTTGGTTTAATCTCATCCTGGATCAGATCATACTTGGAATATGATTAGAAACCTGGTGTCGTATACTCTGTCAGCATGGGGTCCTCACCACTTATTGAATTTGACAATTATGTAACTGAAGAGTGAAGCCAGGTGTTTAAAAGCAATGACGTTTCTCTCCACCTCAGAAGACAGGGCAGGAATGATGAGCAGCTAACACTTGACTAAAGAGCTGAGGCACTAGATAGATAAATAGATAGATAGATTACTTTATTCATCCCCAAAGGGAAATGAGGTCGTCATAGCAGTCCGGTATTTGGATACAATAAAAATACAACAGAATAAGATACTGAGGTAGAAAAATAAAAATAAAAAGACAGAATAGGACAAGGGCACTTAAAAAACAGGTAGATAAGGTGCAGTGGCAAGATGATGGTAATAGTACTGATGATATGATGGTAATGTTATTGTTACTAAACAGTATATAATAATAGTACAGTNCATCTTAAAGTTTTTGTGGACATTATTGGGAAACCCTCTTTGCTCCATTAGTTGGTACTCAAGTTTTGGACAGATTAATTTACCATTCAATTTTATGTAGATATTTGTGGACCAGACAATGAGTCCTAATAACTTAAGTGATGAAAATAATCAAATCAGAAATTTCCGTTTGACATTTCCTAAACTGCAATTCTCCCCATTGCCTGCAGGTGGCACAGACTTTAAATTTGTAGAATCTTTTCTGCCTGTAGATGGCGCACATCAACACTGCAGTTGCTTTCTATGCTGATGGCGAGCCACACCCCTAATTCGCCTCAGTGCTTCGAGACAGTTCCATTATGGTGGGACATCGGTCATTTTTTAGTAAATATAGCATTGGTGAATCGTGAAACCAAACCAAGCGTAGGCGAGAGATAATGAGAGAAGAAGCTGTTGGGAGGAGGCACCAGCTGAGCTCAGAGATGCTAACATTGGAGATAGTATAAATAGCTGGTGGTCGACACCAGGAAGTTTCTATTAACCACCATGTCTGGAGGAACATTTGGACATTCCTTCTAATGGTGGAATGCATTTACAAAGGTTTAGTATGATTTCAAGATGGTGGATGCTTGTAGCGTTCACCTCAGAGGACTTTTAATGATCAGTGGGGGAGGGTTAATGGGGGAAATATATATTTGCTCTACATGTGAATGAGGTGTCACAGAATTGCTTACTTCTAGTGTAATGTATTTTTAATTATGTATGAACAAGTACCCATTACACACAAGCTAATCCTTACTTTTTCATTCGTCCAAGCACTCAAATCAATTTAATAAATATTTAAGAAGTATGATAATAATAATATATGATAATAGTCATCAGGACTGAGGCCTACATGGTCTGTAGTTAGACTCATAGGAAGCAGACCTTTTTCCTGCATGTAGTATCAGTATATTCTACGTCTATTACTGCTCCATCAACACTGATCAGTGCAGCTCTCCTGTAGAGACGGACCAGCAGGACACACTAAACTTAATCTTCCCCAACACTCTGCTCATCATTGCAGAAGTAAATAGCAAATTGTCTGTATTTATGTAGCACTTTTCTGGTCTTGATGACAACTCAATGAGCTTTACATCACAGTTCCGCCATTCACCCATTCAACAGTGCATCTAAATTCACCACTTTCTCTATCACACATCATTCACACCCCAGCACATGAAATGGGGGAGCCGGGGAACGACCTACCAACCTTCTGGTTAGTGGACAACCCGCTCTACCCCTATTGCTTATATGATAGTCTGCGTTACCATTCTGCCTTGTTTGGAATGTGTCCCATCACAAGGGGAAATTATGGCAATACATCAAAACAAATAGACGTCCTTAAAGAGGTCATGGTTGTACCTCGCTGATCCGATGTGAAGGAGGGAGCGACACCGAGGGAAAGTAAGGAAGAAAGGAACAGGAGTTTATGGCAAGCAGGAGCGCGAGGAAGGAGAATGAAATTTAATTTTCTGTGCCCTTGTTTTTAATAGATTAAAAGCTTTAGGAATGATTGGATCTTTCATTTTAAATGTATGATGTGGCCCACTGTGTTCAGGCCTTGTTTTTTTCCCCTTGGCTCTATTGGATTACCTGTGTGTGAGTTACGGGAGTTAACAGTTGGGACACGGCATGACCGAAGCTTTTCACTTTATTCTCATTGACATTTGCTGTGTTAGCCCTGTGACATTTTGCCAAAGGCTCATGCTATAGATGGAAGGAGCGAACCAGGTGTTTTCACAGCTTTCATTACATGCTATTGTTATGCTAAAGGTTGAGATTATATCTAGTCAGACTGTGATTAAACATGGAAAGAATGGAGCGGCAAAGTGCCAGTGGAAGAAAATACTTTATACATAAAAAATGTAGAGTTAATGAAATTTCTGTTCTTTCCCTTTTTTTTTAGATATGACATCTGCACCTACAAGAACAAACCCTGTGGAACCTTGGGTGAGTGGACTAAAGCAGACTGAAGTTTCTATACCCTGTTTAACATGTGGTTTCCTGCCAAATAAGTAATCTTAGCCACGGTCAACTATATGATTCTCTGGTGTAGGAGCTCATACTTTTTCTTTTCCCCCTCTGGAGAGGTTTCCATTTTCACCTTCAGCGTGTCCTCAGACAAACCGTATTCTGCAGTCTCCCTTTAGAAGAACACCAGACAGATCGCAAGGGATGTTTTCACTTGTGTTATTATAGCTCCTTGGTGGCTCTCCTCTGTTGGTTGAGGCCAGGAGTGCCGATCCCAGATGGCCGTGGTCACCTCCTTGCATGGCCTCAATTTATAAAACCCGTCTGTCTCTCTCCCTCTCTCTCTCTCCTCCGCCTCCAGCCTCAGTTGGTCTGAGGTGTTTACACTTCCACTGGGGCTGAGGAAGAGAAAGAGAAAGGAAAAGGTATGTGTTGGACAGGCGAGGAGCGAGACTTGGGGTGGGGTGGGGGATGTGCAAAGAGGAGAGTAGTGACAGAAGGAGGAGAAGGGAAAGAAGAAGAGGAGGAGTTGAAAGGAAAATGAAGGGGAAAAGGACAATTATAGTGAGTGTTAGAGTATGCAGGAGGGAGATAGAGTGGGTGATATGCTGCTTGTGGAGGTTATGGGGGTGGAAAAAGGACAGCATGCAATGGGAGAACCCCCCAACATCCACCCCCCGCCCCTCTCCTCATCTCTTTCCCTCTCTTCTTCACCCCCCCCACCACGCTAACCCCATCCCAAACCTCCCACCCACCCAGGCCTTCTACTCTCCACATCTTATCTTTGTAAAGGCCCTGCAGGCACCACAGTATATCTTGAAGGTAATATTGTGACTTCAGGGGTGGTTTGACAGATTGACCGCATTCGTCACATTCCCCGGTCGCTTTAATTGCCCTGGCATCTGCTTGGCTTCCTCGTAGTCTCACCACCACCACCCTGACCCCACCCCTCCTCTCCTCCCTCTACTCTCGGGGATCATGCTCCCAGGTCAGATCGCTGGCCTTTAAGGTCGCAGAGTAATCACGGGGCTGGAGATAATACACAGTCCACCCCGGTGTTAAGAAAAAAAAAAACCTTGCAATGCGATTTGTGTGTGTCTATGCTCACCCAATGCTTGCGCTTGCCAATGCACACACACACACACACACACACACACACACACACACACACACACACACACACACTTCACTCTCTAACACACACATTCTTAAACTAATCGTAGAGTAGCCACCCTCCCTCTCCTCCTCCTTTCTTCACCTCCAGGCTCCCTCTTTCCCTGCAGTAATGGTTTCAGTGGCCTCCTGATTTGCGAGTCTATTCTTGTTTAGCCTCTTAGTAAAGAGGATACAAAAGCCATGCCACTTTTAACAGGGAGCCAGAGTTCATGCAAACTATACAGGGACGCTGACCAGTAAAATGTGATTTATCTCTTTGCTCACTGTAGTGGTGTGTCAGGATTATTCATATCAAACTTTGCAAAAAAAAATCTCAGAGCACATTTGGCCTCTGACTGGAAGTTGCAGAATGAGTTCATGGATCACATTATCACACCATTATCGTCCCTGCAGTCGGTTCCTCTGAAGGCTAAGGCTTTTTTATCTTGACTATCAGAAACTTTGTTTTAACAATACCTGCATCTTTCCACCATACTCCTAGTTAGTGTTGCCCACTCCATGACAACGGTTGCTCTCCTCTTGTGCTCTGGCAAACCAAGCATCACTAGATGACATAAAAACCCATCCTAGTGTGGAAATGTTGCCATGGATACCAGATTTGTAACTCTGGTATGATTCAAAATGCAAATAGATTTACCTGGTTCTGATTCAGCTCAGCATTGGTTGAAGTTTGATTTGTTGAAATCCCGCTCTCCCACTTTAATAACACATGACTAGAGAATCAGCTCAACCAGCTGGTAATCCCAATGCAAGCAGTTCCTAATATTGAGATTACAATGGTAGATGAACGGTAGATGAAAGTTTTTAGAACTTTAATGATGTGACCGTCACATATAATTGATATTTTGTTGGAGAGGAAGCAAATGACTTTGTATAAAAAAAACCTTTATACCCTTTTTATGTCTTCTAGTGCCCTCAACCTGAAAATAATGAAGTATATCACTACATGGAAACAAAGAAATGAAAATGCTCCTTCCTTCACACAGTTACACACATCCTCTTATGACACACACAGGAACAGATGCACACACACCTGCTTTGGGCTGTCATATGATCCACTCTCCAGTCACCTGTAGATGTAATCTGTGAAGGATTGCCTCCTGTCTCCCTATCTGACCTGTCAGGCTTTAGGAGAAATAGGACTTGTGACACCTGGATTGTGAAGAGGTTTTAACTTTAAACACCCTCTCCCTTTCTCCCTCTCCCCCTCTCCCTCGTTCTCTGACCCCACTTCTGAAAATGAGGAAAACATGTATATTTTCTGACAGCCTTCTGCAGGGGCACAGTGTTGGTGAGGGAGTTCTTATATTCCCTTCCTTGGCTCGCGTTTTGGTGATCCCTTGTTACCGTGAATTGAAATGAATAAATCGAACCCTTGTCTAGACATTTTCCTGCAGTCTCTGTAGTTTGCAAGAAATAATGAAAAAACAAAAAAGCTGTCTAGCCAGCGATGCTTAACTCAACTCTCCGACACCCCCAAAGTCAGTGTATAGCAGCAGATTGTCTTTCAGCACTGCTGTAAACAAGTCGATCATATGTGTGGAATCCCAATTTTATGACTATGCCTCCTAAGAATGCTACGTCCTCACCCTGTGTTTGTGTGTTTGTCTGGCATGTGTGCGTGTGTGTGTTTTTTGTTGTCCAGGCTTGGCCTCAGTGGCTGGAATGTGTGAGCCGGAGAGGAGCTGCAGCATCAATGAAGACATCGGCCTCAGTTCTGCTTTCACCATTGCGCACGAGATCGGCCACAAGTGAGTTTTAAGACTTTTTGAGATCCCAATATAAAAAATCTAATTTGACCTTACTTTATGATCCAAATGGAAAGGGTGGGTCAAAGCCAATGGGTTTTGAACAAGAAGCACTTATACACACAGGTCAAATTCATGTACAAGAGAAACAGGAGAACTTGTCATTTCACATGTTAAACATTTTGTATCAAATACTGTGCCATGTACAGATAATCTGCCTCGATGTGTGAGGAGAAACACTCAAATATAATGCTGCAATCAGTGAATTTGTAGTTTAAACATGGTTAAAGCTGCTACACGTGTTCAACTGACTGATTAGGGGTTAGTTTTGAGTTGAGTTAATCACTTTCATTTTTTTTTTTAGATGTTTAGGACAGTTCAGCAGCAGCCCCAGGGTCTTTACACTCCGGCCAGAAGAACATTTTCTGTTTCACCTACTGTATAATATTCACTACTTGTCATAATTTCTGTCAGCCCTGCTCAGATCATCATTGTCACTGGTCCCCCAATACGATTACATGACTACACGTGCGACACTGTCAATACAACAGGCCTAGAAGCTCTATGATGCAAACTTCTGGTTTTTGACTTGGAACGAGCAGATAAGAAAAAATAGCACGAAACAATTAAGAAAAGAATACACAGATGTTCCTGCTTGACCCCAATTGATTAGTCTTTAAGTTCTTTTTGTTGAAAATCACACACATGCACACACATGCACATGTCCCGCTCAGGATGAAAGTAACGCCTTTCCCATAATTCACAATTGTTTGGTGCTTATTAGCAAATAATAGCAAGGTAAAGACCTAGACAAAGACACTGAACTCAGTTAGCCTCACAGTGTGGGACATCAAGTCATTCCAAGTGAAAAGCCCAGAAGTCCAAGTGAAGTCACAAGGCACTGCTGGTGAAGTTAAAATTCAAATTGAGAGTCTTTTCGTGATTTTGACAAGTGGAGTCCACATTCATCAGATTCATGACTCGATACTGACTCGAGTCCAACTCATCGGACTTGTGTCCACACGACTACCAATGAGATTCCTTCTTTTGCTTCAGATCCTTGTAAAACCTTTTATCGCTTTCACGACTGTGCGCTCTAATAATTGCTCTTAAACAAACATAGCTGACTGCTTGGGCTCGCCAGACCTGCATGTAGCCCCTTCTTTCCCCCAGCAGACGACTTGAACTGTATCTCAGCATATTTCCTCATGTAAATGTCAGTGTCTACATACCTCTGGCTCTTTCTTCCTGAATATAAAGCAAAATAATGATGATGTATTAGTCTACATATCCCTCTCGAGAGAGTTCAGCAAGATGGCGATTTCCTTTATTATGTCTCATGTCTGCTTCTGTTGTGGGGCAGTTGTAAAAATAGTCTCTGCTTCTAGAGGATGTATAAAAAAAACACACTGCAGTGGGGTTTCAACCGGGCTGATTTATTTCCAGAGTAGGGTAAAATGTCATAAACGCCAGCCTTACAAAAACAGGTTCAGACTGTGCAATGTGGTCGGGTTTGTTATATACATTAGACCTGATTTGTGCTCCTGGACTGTTAGGAAAAGTAAGCTTTGACATCCTGCTGAAACTTGAGATTTTCTCTCAAATGATATCCAGACAGATAAGCTTTTTTTTTTTTTTATGAATTGTTAAAATGATTTATTTTCAGCCCTCAGTGTGAAATAAATTCTTGAGAAGCTTTCATAACAGACCACAGGGATGGGAGGTGTTTGGGTTTTGGGTCTCTCTCTCTCTTTCTCTGGTCTCTGGTGAAGCCGCTGATCTATAGGAACCCCGCCCCTCCTCACCCCATCCCCGTCCTCGCTCCAGTTGGTGGCGACTCCCACCTCACAGCCTGCTCAGACCTGCAGGCGGTGATTGACAAGCAGCCATCAGAGTGGTGATTAGAACTTTTTCGTTCCTGCCGAGCTCCAGACAGAGTTTGACCCTTGACCCCTGGCTCTCCTCCACACAGCTGTTTCAGTGCCACAGAGCTTGAACTTTACAGCCAGGGCCAATGAGGGAGACATCCTCCAGTCAACATGCAGGACTTTCCAGTGTAATTCCATCTTAACTGAGCAGTAAACTGCCAAAGACAGGGTCATCGTCCCAGCTGCATTAATTCCAGTTTTTATTTTGTGTGTTTCAGTTTTGGGATGAACCATGATGGCATTGGGAATTCCTGCGGTACCAAAGGCCACGAGACAGCCAAACTGATGGCCGCTCACATAACAGCCAACACCAACCCTTTCTCCTGGTCAGCCTGCAGCAAAGACTACATCACCAGCTTTCTCGAGTAAGTCGTGTGTGTGTGTGTGTGCAGTACAGAAAAAGGTGCAGCCTGCAGCCCTCTCACTTCACAACCCGCCTACCACTGGCGGGCCCTTGTGGTGACCCGCTAGCCTGCCTTATATGAAAGTCCTTCCCCACTTATTCACATCCATGTCATCACTAAGACTCCTGCCAGACCTCCTTGTGGCTGTGTATGATAACTGGGTGCTTTCCACCCATGCATCCCTGCACCACAAGGCGGGTGATGTTAGAGCTCGTGTGGTCCTTGGTGGTGATGTGTTGGCGAGCTGCCCTCCACCACTGCTCCACTGTTTAGTGGATAGGTCAAAGACGACAAAACATTGGAGCACACAAATAAATAGGAGAGTAACACTGTGACATATCAGCAGAATGAGTCCCGCTCATCTGGAATGATAAAATACATTTTAGTGCAGAGTTAAAAGGCCTTCAGAGTCAAGGATATGAAGGATGTGATGATACTGTGATGACGGTATGACTGATACCCCTACCCCATTACACCGACTTGGAGCTGGTTCTGTGCCAGTTTGCAGGACTTATTTTGAACCGTTCTGAGCATTTTTACCAAAAATAAATTGGCATGAAGCCCGAACAGTCGGTTCCCATCAGATCCAAAAATTAGCTGGGAAGAAAGAGCGAAACATGACGACATGAGTGGGAAAGAGAGGGTTGAGAAGAAACCATTGAGGAAAGCCTTTGAGAAATTGTTGGAAAGAAAGAGAGTTTTGCAACACCCATGTTGATTTCAATGCATCCTTGAAAACATTGTTTCTGCACAATACTGTTGGAATCATGGGCTTTTTCATTGGGTAGCGCTATGACTCCAACAATCCTGAACAGAACTGGTTGAAGAACCTGAGCAGATTTAATAGAAAAGAGGTTTGAATTAAGTTATTACATTTACCCATCATGGGTACATTGAGTTGAAACTGCCTTGTCTAATTGAGCAGCATCAATTGGGTTTTCATAGCTCATTTCAAATGGACCGAGGAAATAACTAATAAAAGTTATATTCACTCTTTCTTCTCCACTAATCATGACAGCATTTGATCGCTGTTGAGCGAAGACGGACATTGTTCCAAAGACCGAGCTGAAAAGTGAATTAGAAAAGTGCATTATACTTTTTTTCTGAGAGGGCTCAGCCACTGCTGGGAAACGGCTTCATTGTTTGGGAATAACAATCAGAAAGTGGTCAGGATTGTTCTCTCAAATGAGAAGCATGCTATTCTACTTTAACTATCAGAAAATGAGGTCAAGGATTCCTCAGCAGCTCTCTGAAATGGCTTGCTCGCAGCAATGGCACGATGGCTGTAAACTGCTGCAAAGAGCCACGCTGACTCAGTGGAACTAGCGGACAGAACCAAGTTGTTCTGCAGAAATTGGAAAAACATGCCAGACACAGCTCCGAGTGAGTCACGGTGTCATTTAAGGTGATCTAATCAATATTTTTGTATTAACAATGGATGAAATTGGCGTGTATAATGTGTTTCTCACTTGTAGTGAGAAAAACAAATCATCCAATTCCTCGGTTTGAGTTTTTTAGTGTCTTACCTCATTGTTTTATTTTTTGCAACTTTACTGTTTTGATTCAGCCTAACTGCTCTCATCTGTGTTGATTCTATCAGACAGCTGTTAAAGTGGAAAAAAAGCTCTGATAAGCCCAGTGTACACAAGTGGTTCAGAGCTAAAAACTTACCAGTGGACATAAGAGTGGACATAAGAGTGGATTTAGCAGCTTAAGAGACAAATATTTCCCTAAGGAATTGGCAGAGAACAAAACAGAGCTACAAGCAGTGTGAAAAATGGACTAGGCGTCCAGAAATATGTCTCAGAATGGATGCTAATGTGAAAATAGGCATGTTGGCTCAAACATGTACCATAAATTTGAATTGAATTCTCTGTGTGGTGGCTGGTGTAAGTGCCTTTAAAAGAGCAGACTACTTTCAAGTGAAGTTGAACAGGATCCTATAGAGAGGGAAACAGCTGAAGGTTCATACCAGGACACTGCTGCTGACTTAAAAACATTGGCAACATCACTGTCTGAAAGGAAGTTCTACTTAAATTGGATTTTTCGGCTATAACAGGTGTGGTTTAAGTTGTAATCCAAAAGATTTCAGTCCTGGTTGATGTTAGGACACCCAGTTCAATATTACAGCCAACGCTCCTTCAGCAGCGTCTTTGTTTGAGAACAGAGGAACAGCTGATGTTTCTGTTTACAGCGCACCCAAACAAAATCACATTGTTTTAATGCAGATGTCAGTCAAAAATAATTGCAACCGCAGTCTGACCCCCGGCAAGATGTAAAACTGATATGCTGATAAAAAATGCAGACTATGACCACATCTTTTTTTGTGTGGAGCTGCTGCTGTCAACGCTAAACCTTGAGGACTAACACATAGTAGTTCCTGTTGCTGCTTCACAATAAAACGCTCCCTGAACAGATATTGATGAAATATCAATGCATAATTACCAAGTAAGAGGTAATTACTCAATGTAAATACATGAAAAGGCTAATATAGAAATAAAAAGCTGTCCAAAATTGAGGTTTGATGTGATATTGATTTGAAATCTGAACGATCTGGCCTGTTACCTGGGTTACACAGGTCACACTCCAGTGTCAGAGAGTCTTACCTCAGGAGCTTGTAACAGGGACATCCAGTACACTCCTCTAAAGTCATTACCCTGCTGTGCTATTATGCATGCACATGTATAAAAACGTGCATGTATCTGGCTTCCTGTGATTTGGGCATGGTGGAAATAGGAAACATGCCGAGCACATTATTCCCCTTTAGTCTTATCTTTTATTGCCCTCTTGATAATAGAGTTTATATATTTAAGCTTGCCCCGCAAAGAGAAACCAGACAGGGTTCCAATTATCACAATTCTTTGTCATAGACCCAGAAACACTGCAAAGGGAGAAATCCTTCCTTTTCAATCTTTGCGTGGAGGACCTTTCTCACTCTAGTTTAGCTTGATCGCTCATCACTTAGACCTGAATGCTGCTTGCAGATCCTTATACACAACCCTGTGATGAAGTATTGGTGGGATGTGTTGCAAGTCTGCGGTGTGTCTCTGTGTGTGTGTTTGTGCATTCGTGTTTAGTTAGCAAGGCCCTCCAAGAAAGCGGATAATAGCGGCTGCGGTTGTCAGATGATGTTTCCGGCTGAAAGCTGTTAAAGGAGGGTTAGTGAACAGCACTTGTGACAGAGATGACAGTATTATATGCCAGCTTCCAGCTGGGACACAAAGAGCCACTTCTCTGCCGCTCCGTCGGGTTCCTGTCCATTTCTGGCTCAAGTATCTGAGGACGACCAAGGCTGTGCTCCAAAGGAAAAGGACACAAAGTTGTTTCACTGCATCTTAGAGCAGCATCACCCTTTGCTTTGCTTATTTTTGCTCCATTTGTATCACTCTTTCGCTTGAGTTTTGTCTTTTCATTTTGGTTTTATTGCCTTTAGCTTTTATGTTTCTTACAAAAGGGTTCTGTCTGTAAACTCCAATTATCCTCCCTTACTCTCCCTCAATCAGGGTTTTGGATATCGCTCATGCTTCTCTTTGCCAAGTAAACAACTTTGGCTGTGGTGTTGGCCTAGATTCACCGTCTTGCTCGAGCAATATGTGCAGCTTTGTTTGGGTTTTTTAGTGATGGTTTATGAATGCACTCACAGTTCAGTCACAGTTTATTCTCTCAGGTCTGCATGCCAATTTGCAATAAATGTTAAAAGGCAGGCAGTTAGAGGTTATTAAACTCTCTGAGACCATGTGTTCTGGTGATATTAGACTTATGTGCCATGTTATGATAGTTATTAGGCCAGTCTGACTGAATCATGCTGCTGTGTCATCATTGGTTGGATCCAAGCGGGATGGTTAATATCTACATGAATGACCAGTGTCAGAGTTCGAAGGACGCCCATGTTCCTGCATATTAAAGGATATTTCCGCTCAGCATAATGAATTTGGCTGAATCCGGCAGACAGGAAGCCTTTGCGACAGTGTCAAATAATAGCCTCTATGTTTAAACTTTGACTATTTTGTCTCTCTCCAAACCAATAAATAGTGAGGCTTGCCCTCAGTGCATAGGGAGTCTGGGGGCCTCAGAGGCTCTCTGTGTGATGAGAGGGTCCTCCGAGGAACAAGAGCCAAGAAATAGGATTATTCCATTCAGTGACTGAGATCAGTGGATGGAGAGAAGAAGACAAGAACGTAAGAAAAAAGGAAGGGAGAAAAAGTTTGCTCCTCTCAGTCTGGAGCATTTCAGTTTTGCTTATAATGCATTGTTTTAATGTGCTGCTCTGTAATGAAAAGCATGTTTCAGATGTCTTGATTTATTTCGTTCAATATTGTTCTAAAGAAAATACTTGATAGACATCGCAATTAAAAAAGTACATGAAAAAAGGTTAGCTGTTACTCAACATTTGCACATAAGCTACAAAATGCTAGGTAACGTTTGCGTAGTTAACTAACGTTAACTTGCTATTACCTTTTAAGAATGCCGTTTAATGATAATTTAATATTATGTAACGTGGGATAATTGCATATTTCGCAATACATATCATAGACCGTATATAAAGATGGACAACATGATGGCCCTCCAAAAGTGAAGCCTAAGCTTCTCCTTCGCCACCTGGTGACTGGCCACAGTATAGGCACAATGTTAGTTGATGGGACACAGACCAAAGAAAATTTTCAAATGTCAGATTTTCCTAAATTTTCTCATCTTTCTATTAAGATGGTTTTAAATGTGCAGACTCTAACTCCAAATGGGAAACATGGCAGTATTGCTCATATCTGATATATTTTGGGATCACAGGAAGTGGAAATTGGTCGTCCATCTTTATATACAGTTTGTGATACTTTCCAGAGCACAGCATTATAAAAACAACAACCTCAATTTGCATAAATAACCCAATATAATTCAAATTACAACACATGCAGTAATGAGACATGACTTGATAAATAAGTCAAAGATGAAAACTTTAAAAGCAGAACTAGTCTATCTGTATATTACTAAAGCTAAGTGAGATAAGAAGATATACTTTGTGATTTGGGTGAACCAGCTGTTAAAAGTTCTCTTGGTTTCAGTCCTCAATCGTCTCCTCTCTTGTAATCTGGGCCCAAGTCTCGGTCTGCTCAATCACAAAGTTGAGCTCTACGTTATTGTTGTCACCGGGCCCACTTTTCCTTTCGAGGGATGGGAAGAATTCCACTGCATGTTGCAGCTGCCACAGCTGGAAAATAGCACAGTGTTATAGTAAATAGTTGTAGTAATCTTTTTGCCTTGAGTGAATCCTCTGACTCAGGGAGAAGTAGAGGAGGTGGAAATCAAAATGAAATACATCTGTGTTTGTTTATTGGAACTTGTCTTATCATATGATTTTAGTCTCCTACACAGAAAAGGTGACAGGGTCAAACGAATAACACAGAACCATAATCTGTGAGCCGAGGGTTGGCCGTCAGTGCTGGGATGAGAAAAGCATCCATACAGCAACACAGATACTCAAACATGTTCAGCATCTTAACCCAAAATAAACAGACACACCAAAAGACACATAACTATTTTTTTTTGCTGCTAGAGAACAAAACTGGTGTGTGTGTGTGTATGTGTGTGTGTGTGTGTGTGTGTGTGTGTGTGTGTGCTTCTTCTGTGAGTTCTTTGTGAGTGCACATATTTCTATCTGACAAAACAGACTAAACATTATCCTAGGCCCTGGACATATGACCCATAGCTCACTCCAGATTCTTCTCTTCCTTTCCCTGCTCTGTCATTTTATTGGCTCCTCCGTGGATCCCGCACCACCAGTGACATACAGAGCAGCGGAGCACTGAGCCATATAATCAGAGAGAGTTTGTGCTTTAACACAGGCATATCGGCTGACAGCCTTCCCCCTTCGCCTCCGGTCAAATGTCCCTGCTTGTGCTTCAACACTCCCTTTGATTAGCAGGTGTTGATGTGTAATATCAACATGAATTACATGTCATTTTCGATCTTTGACAAGCTTCCTACAGTGGTAGTTTGGTGGTAAAATTAAATGAGTCAAACAGCACCTGCCAAGGTCTAATAGAGAAGAGGCGGGGGGGGGCTTTATTGGTGTAGAAAGGTTCCTTTGTGTAAGAAACAATCCTATTACAGGTTTGTTTTTTTGACAGCTCAGGTCGGGGGACGTGTCTGGACAATGAACCTCTGAAACGAGACTTCCTGTACCCAACAGTGGCCCCGGGGCAGGTGTACGATGCAGACGAGCAGTGTCGCTTCCAGTACGGGACTTCCTCCCGCCAGTGCAAGTATGGGGTAAGAAACCAGCATCTTTCAACATGTTCTCTTCTCACTGAGCCAAAGCAACTCATCTTATATGTTTAATGGATCATTACAGTTTATTGAGCTCACAGGTCCACATAGGATGATGTAGTCAAAGATATCTCAAGGTTGATTTGCTGAAAAGCCCACACTGGACTGGAGTTCACTTTGAAACCAGGGTATAAACAAATATAAATACATGATGCATGATGGTCCAAATCTGAATTGTCTCATGATAAAAAAGAACAGTATTATTTGATTATGGGCTGTTGATCAGACTTTGAAGATGTCACCTTGAAGTTTCTTGACATTTTATATGTCTAACTAATTAACTAATTAAAAAAAACGTCAAAATTAAACTGTAATCGTAAGTTGTAGCTCTACTTATCTGATATCAGCTAATAATCAGATCATAATAATCAGAGGTAGCCAACAGTATACATACTCTATATACTATATGTTTGATATTTTTAAGAACAGTGTTCGGGACCATCTCGTCAATAGCCTCCTTTTTTAATCTTACCTAATTCTGTAAGAGAGGTTATTATTAATTATTGATGATATTGCAGAATGATTTTACATTCACCTGGACCTCCTGCCAGTATTAGAAAACTTTCAGTTTGAAATCAATATCATTCAGGCTCGTATCTTCTTGCTGTTAAAACGTCCCTTTCCAGTATTTAGTCTCACCTGGACCGACACTTATACACACTCTAATCTAGACACCTTTGAGGGTGGGGTTCAAATAAAAACCCAGTTTCATTTCATTCATTTGATTAAAATGTTATTTTACTTTGTCCACACATAAATTTAGGTATTAGGAATATTGGCTAATTGCATTAATCTGAATATATTTGTGACAGAAGCAAATCCACATACAGAGAGCAGATTCTGCCCTTCTTAGATATTATACAGTTGAATGAAAGTTAAGTTAGAGATTATAAATGTGGTGCAATGCAGGAGGCAGGAAAACCAGGGGAGATGGGGGAGACAGACGTTTGAGAGGCTAGGATCAGGATCTTTGCTTGAAAATCATAAATATAATTAATCAATTGCAAAACTGTTCCTGATAAATGTGTGATAATAAACTACTTAGTTAAGTATAGTGAGGTCCAGAGGTCCATCTTGTCTCTTATTTGAAGACGTGCTTGATGAAAACGTGCGTAATAAGCTAATAATAACAATAAGGAGGGTTATTGTTTTATCAATGTCTACTACAGCTGGTTCAGAGGTGTCTTTTCACACATCACCTTTTCTTCTTTTAAATCCCTAAACTTCCTACGGATAGAGATGCTGGATGAAAGTCAACACGACCCTTGTCTGTAATGATAATGATTCACCCCATGCCTGGATAATGAGATAATGAGGCAAAAAGTTAAACAGGCAGTGAAAGACAAGCAGCAACCACATGGTAAAATGAGCAGTTGCAGGAATCCACATCCAATTTAATGAACAATAACGCAAAATGCACGACGTAAATATTTGCGCACACGATGGAACAAAAGTGGGGGGGGGGGGCAGTGATTAGCTGAGATCATATAGATATTTCATTTCATTGAAAGATATATCTGACAGCAGATTATAACAGGCCCCAAATCAAGCCCTGTCATTTTGGCTCATAAGCTCATAATTGTGGTTTTAGATCAGCATGAAAGACACACATTTATGAGATTTATGAGCGGATTGGATTCCAGCAATGATTCAGTGCTAGATTGGAGGTTTTCATCTGACAATCAGATCTGTTTCATACAGCCATCTGTGAAAGAGATGCCCTCTGCGACTGCTGACAGGAATAGACTGGTTTCTGTATCTGACACTCAGCCATAACCTGTTGAACTTTTCCACATTAAGATGAGTACTTTGTTTATTTTGTCCACAGAATACAGAGGGAACAGTGATGGGAAAGGCAGAGAAGTTTAGCCTGAACAAATTAAAGTTTATCTCTAATATATCTATAAATAATGTTAAACAGTCATAATGACGTTTTAATATTTATCTTGAAAAACATGTTGCTCAAGATGCAATTCGTATGGCGTCAGGCTGGATGATAAGAAAGTGATTTGATGACTAACAAAACCAATTGACATTTGAGTTCATATTGAAAAATGGCTTGACATAAGATAAACTTATTTTTTATCTTTTAAGACATAAGAGGAAAAAGTTATAGTAAAACATAACATAATATTATGTCACATAAGGAAGTCTCATGTGACAGTGGTGCATCTGAGTGGTTGAGATTTAGGAAGTTGGTTTTCTTTTCTAATTTAACATTGCATTACACCGTCTGTGATCATGCATGTGTCATTGTGTGTGTGCAGGCTGCAGGACTGAGGGGGTGATAACATGTTGACCGGTCCCCTACTGTGTTCCAGATTGAAATATCTACCGCTATTGGATGTATTGAGTTGATGGATGGATTGCTATGAAATTTTGTACAAACACTCATGTTCTCCAAGTTTGCCCGTCACACATGAACAAGGGAGCAGGAGATTCTCCGACAGGTTCACAACAACACAGAAGTTATTTAGGTGAGAGGTGGTGCAGCAGGCAGAGGCAGGATGTAACATTTCAATTCTACTGCGGGGATCACATGCTTTTGTTTACAATGCATCCTCATCTCTTAAAATCTTCGTTGGTCTACGTGTGTGGCACCACATTTTTTACCCTGTGATATTTGTATTTGTTTTTTCATTTCATTTCACTGCATCTGATCCTGCTGAGGATCCCCTGCTTTGTTCCCGCATCAGCCATAGATATTCTTAGAAGTTTTTACTAGGCTGGCCGGACAAACTCCGGAGAATGTCTGGAGCCTCTCACTCGGACAGTTGCGTTCTCACATGCAGCCCTTTTGGAGAATGTCAGGAGATTTTCAGTGCATGTCTGAAAGCAGCTTATCACAAAAACCATCACATTTCTGAGAAATGAAATTGAAGGCTTTACACATGAACTGTACTTGTAACATTTTCCAAAGGATTTGGTGGAGATCATCTGTTATTAAAACTGTGTTTTGGATTTTGCAGAAATGAACAAAGCAAAAGTTTTATTTTTTGTTCTTGCACTTTGTTGTATGTGTACAGTCCTGGGCAAGGATGCTTTAATTCACTTCATACAAAGTGCAGTGAACAGAAAAAACCTACATCAAATCAACATCTATATAAACATCTCTCTCTCTCTCTCTCTCTCTCTCTATATATATATATATATATACACAGTTGTCAAATCAGTATCAAACCAAACAATCTTTCGTTCGAAAATCAAACCTAAATATAAATCAGTTTATATTTAGGGAACATAAGTAGAAGATGTTGGGAACACCTCATGCAGAACAATATAACAAGCAGTATTTCACTAAATATGGCCCATGACGCGGTCAAGGATTCCTATAAATTCACAGACATTAAAGATCCTTAAACCGCAGGGGTATCACACACTTTCAATCACAGCACAAGACTGAGTCAGAGGTGAGAAGAGTAACACAGACATCAAGAGAGGAAATTACTGTAATTTATAGCGATAATTTGTTTTTAGCGACTTCTTCCCACTTCTCAGTTTGACCATAAACCTGCATGTGCTCAAAGCTTCCAGACAAAGCTGTGTGTGTGTTTTTCAAACCCGAGCAGGCTGAAGGTATGGAAAATAAACAACCTTTGATGGCTATTTTAGCAAAGTCCTTACCGACTGCCTCTGCCCGTTTTTATCTCCAGCTTGTTCTCTCTCGGCGTAAATCAATCAGGCCCGCATCCATGTTCGTTAAGGCCCTGTCTGCTGACCTTTTAGCAGGGCCCAGACAGTGAATGGAGCAGTGGGTCAGGTTATTAAAACCAGCTGGCAGAGTGGAGTCACTACAACCAGAGAGTGGCAGTTTGCTGCTTTATTTAATCTGGATAGGCTCAGTGAGTTGCGCAGCCGTGGCATATTTACTGACCCTTGGGGTCAGAATCTATGTGTGCGATCATAACTCTTTTTCATGGGCCTGCTCTTCTGCCGCACACAATTGTCCTGTAAAAGCCTTTGAAGTGGAGACGCGAGGGAACCCAGTTCAGTTTAATGGGGAATCTAATGCAAGGTTGTGCAGAGCTGCCCTTGTAACATGTGTTCACTTTATGGTTTTATTTATTTGGGGGCAACTTAGTGCTATCTTCCCACACACACACACACACACACACACACACACACACACACACACACCATTCCTTCCGTAATCTAAATGGATCCTCCTTACATCCTAGACTGAGGGGTGAGGAGGAGAAAACAGAGATGTGATGTTTATTCAGACCACTCAGTAATACTGAAGATATTTGTTAGGCCTACAACTCGTCTTTATCTAAGACTTGGGAGGCCTATTGCTCACTCTTGATTTCCCCAAGCAGGAGAGATGGGATTTCTTGAACTGATGTCACGGTCTCGTGTGGTCCTGAGGTGAACGTGAGCAAACGTTAGTCATGGTGTTGATCCAGCTGACTCTTCATTTCTCATAAGAGAACATTAAGAGCACCCAGTGACCCCTGGCATATTGCTCAAGATGCACGATGATCCAAAGCATATGGGCTGTTGAAGTTAGTTGCCTCTCAGCGGTGTTGATGTGGTCCCATCGACTCCTTTCGTCCTCTGATTTGATCTGGAGTTGAGTAGATAACTTTCCATGCTGTTTGTGGTGTTGTTAGTCTTTAGCTGTTGGATCAGAGGAAAAAACACTAAGAGGAAAATCACCGAAGGCTACTGATAAACTTTCTCCCCCTGATTCACCAATCTACCCTCCAGTCTGCTGAAATGATTTATTCTGATCAACTTGCTTTTGCCTTCTTTCCTAGGAAGTGTGTAGAGAGCTCTGGTGCCTTAGCAAAAGCAACCGCTGTGTAACAAACAGTATCCCGGCTGCAGAGGGGACTCTGTGCCAGACTGGCAGCATCGAGAAAGGGGTAAGTCATCAAACCCTTGTCAGACGTTTCAAAGTTTACCAGAAAAGCTTTCATATTTGCTCACTTACTCTGAGTGGTGTTAGGGGGTTCAAAAATATCCTTCACTGTCAATAGCATTTAAAGAGAATCAACAGAGTATCGATCCCCAACGACTTTGATAATCAATTCATTGTCAAAGGTATTTAACCAAGACAAAATGTCTCAAGCTTCTGATCACACATCTGATCTATTGTGTTAATCTGATAAGCACGACACAACTCAAGTTGATTCAGAATTTATTCATGTTTTATTGCTAATTTAACTTCTTATATCTAACTAGTGTTTTATGTGTTTTTAGTATGTGAGCGGCACACTTCAAAAAGACTCCTGTACTCAAAAGCATTTTCCCAAGTATGCGTATGTTAACATTCAGCTAAACTGATTCAATTACAGTCAAAGTTACTGCTGGTGTGATCATGCCTTTACTCTAGATAACGCACACACGTCACTGTGGCACTACTTTCTACCCAAGAAATAGTTCAGATGAACTTCCCTTGAAAGCTCCACCTGCGGATAATCCAGAGAAACTGGGACTTGATGAGATGTTTTCTTACTCATCTTAATGTTGTTTCTTAACACAACAAATGAAATTACCTCAATTTTCTAACAGAATTTTGAAATAATTGTTTATAAAACTATCAGCATGGCTTAATACAACAGGACGTATTTTTGTCATTTGGGTGGAGTGACACTTTTAAGCATTACATAGTGATGTATCTGGTGATGTGAAATCAGCACTGTTACTCTCCTCTAAGTGAGGCAATTAGCCTCAGTTAGTGGTACCTCACTGCCCCAACTTGCATCTGTTCCTCTCTGGGAAGGGTGTACCGTTCCCTGCGTGTGCACTCATGCAGTGGGTGCTACCAAACACACACACACACACACACGCAAGCAGGCCAGGCTTTAGGTCATCGGCCTGCTGTTGATGCCAGCCAGGTTAGAGAGACAGTTTTAACACGGATTATGGCAGCCATTGTCACTGGATGGTCCGAGGTCTAAAAGGGAAGAATAGGAGAGTGTCACGAGCTGTCACCCGTGATTACCATTAGCTCAGTGGAGCCTTTGAGGGTCGGGGCCCACGGACAGTGTCCTGGACAACACAGGGGGCCCCAGGTTGAGCCTGGGGGGCTTTGGAACAGCTTTTGGAGCAGCTTTAGGAGAGCCGGTGGCATACCCTGTCTGCCCCTGCCGGGGGCAGCTTCAAAGGAATATGAATGTCAGCCATTTCTCACCCAGCGTGTAATGGAGAGAGGCCCTTCCAACAGGAGCAGGGAGAGAGGGGAGCAGAGAATGGGGGAGGGGTAGCAGTAGGTGGGAGAGAGGCAGAAACTGACCAATGGAGATAGGTTTTTGTGTTTTTACTGTGTTTATATAGACTCACACAAATATACTCCAAGGTTGTTTCAGAAAGCAGACTTCATCTTCCTTCCTTCTGTGTCCTGATCCCTCCGTCCTTCTTTGCACCTCTGCGTGTCCTCTCTCCTCTTTCCCACAGCTAATCTTGTTTACATAGCATCTCAGGATGTGAATGAGTAATTGTGAACGAGGACAGTGCCCCAACGTAGCCCTCACCTTGACTGTCCCCGTCTCTCTGGGTTCTTAACCTACTGACACAGTTGGAGAGACAAAGGGCTGTCTCTGATCCCCTCTTCCCCCTGGATCTCTGGACAGCTTAGCACAAGGCTTAAAACACTACTGACACGCTGGAGAGGGCTTTCCATCCCTCACCTACCTCTGAGGCCACGCAACAGTACACTCGAAACACTACACAAGAGAACAAGAACACATGCTTGATCAGTATGATGTTAATTACGCTTTGGTATCATAATGGTTTAGGAAAGAACATATGCAGGTGAATTATAATAACACTTTCTATTAAAAGCTGAGAAATGCACAAGTCAAAGAAATATGTCACTGTGTCCAGAAATGTCTTTATTTCTTTTTACTGCTCAGAATATCTCATGAAAGTAAAAGTAAAGTAAATAAATCTGATAATTTTCTCAATTAATAGCTGAGGCTACAGTTTCAGGAAATAGTGAACATGTACATTCAAGTTTCTTAGAGTGCAAGATAATGATTTCAAATATTTGAAGTTATGTGTTCATACCAAGAACAGTATGAACACACAGTTCTTTCTTTAAATTACATTTTTCTGGTTTTACATTTAAACAAATAGAAATGAAAGATTCAAAAATATTTGTTTTTGTTGAATAAGTCAGTTTTGAACTTGGGACAGAAAGTGGTAGTTGGGTTTTACATCCTTCTTACAGTTTTTTAGCTAAACCAGCAGCTTTCAGTTGACTCACAAAACATGTAAATATTGAACAATGTTACTGGACCTATTGTAACACTAGAACTGGAGGAGAATCATTGAGTCAGCGATTATTGACTAATATTAGTAATACAGCAATATTTACTTGGACTTTTCTAGCATTAGCTAACATTAGGCACAACAATTACTGGTCATTTTAAATAAATTAAAGTTTAAACAGAAGATTGTGATTCTGTATTAATAAAGACATAACATTCATATCAGAATTCTTATTTCACTCTTGGAAAGAAAGGAAATAAAGAAAAAACCCTATTAATTTATCAACTGGCAGGATGCAACCTAATTGAGTCAGATAAACTTTACAACGATGAAGCTAAACAAGGAGGAAACCAGGACGGCAATAACAAAATGGAAAATGATAGGTAGGAAATAACAGGACTAATGCCAAAATGTAATAATAGGGTGGGTAATAGTGTAATGACAAGTCTATCCCTGAGTGTGTTTTGAAATGGAGGGAGAGAGAAGGTGCTATTGAAGGGAAACAATCATTCAGTTTGTATATTCTGCTTTTCATCGTATAAAGATGCACATGCATTTATTGTGAGCTCATAACTGTTTGAAAACTGTAAGACACTTTTCTTTGTTGTGACAAGTTGCATGTTATTGTGAGTCTTAGCTGAAGTCTCTAAAGCAGTGTTTAGTGTCTCAGTCTCTTTGTTGTGGCAGATTCAACCCCTTTGCACAATAACCGAACTCTACCCCCCCTCTGTGTGTGTTTTTCTGTTCCCACCCGGCCAGTGGTGTTACCAGGGGGAGTGTGTTGCGTTCGGTACCTGGCCTCAGAGTGTGGACGGAGGCTGGGGGCCCTGGTCCATATGGGGGGAGTGCAGCAGGACCTGTGGGGGCGGTGTATCCTCCTCCATGAGGCACTGTGACAGCCCAGCGTAAGTAGGCAAAGTAAGCCACAGCAAGCTGAACACACACATCCAGGTCCTGCCTACAGGTGTGTGTTTGTGTGTATGTGCACATGTGTATGCTGTGTGGTTGTGTGTTGCGTCTGAGTGGTAGTAAAGATACTAGTACAGATAATTAGAAGCAAATTAGTAATGAAACATTTACAAGCGTACATGCTTACTTCTTGATTTGACAAGTCTTTTTCTTAAACATTAAGTTTCTATTGTTTTCAAAGTTTTTAATTCAACTTACAACCAGTCAAAAGTGTCTGTTTCAATCTGTGGTGAAACGGACAATACACTGGTGCAAAATTGTAACTCCGAATATAAGATTTTATAAATGTGTGTCTTGATGCACTCTAATCCACAAGAGCCAGGCAAGACCCAGTCTTTCAAACAAGACTTTTAAGATCCCGTCACATAGCTCATTGTTTTTGCTTGAATACCCACAAGTTTACTGTTTAGGTTCACTCTTACCGCTCTCAGTGCTTTCGACCACAACAGGCAGCTGTTTGCAGAGGAAAATCTCTGAAAGATCACGGTAGAACAGCTGGTGAACATGTGGAACATTTAGCGGCTAAAAAGACTTTCTCCCAGAAGTTGGTGGAGACCAAAACTACAGCTACAAGAGAGAACGTTTTTGACTTGGCTCTGTCAGGCTGGCAGAGGCACGACTCCGAATGGATAATAATATTCTTCTGTACTTGAAAGCGGATTTAAAGTTAGTCACTCAAGAGAGTCTTGGGAGATAAAGGAAGATTTAACATTAGCATTTAAATGCTAAGTCAAGCCAAAGTTATGAGGTAGATATTTGTTTGCTTTGAGTAGAAGGAGGTGCAGCTGTCAAATCCAAGAAAGACATAATAGCTGTGATTTGAAGTCTGAATTTGCTTTATCATTTACCAAAGATAGAAAACCCAAATTTGAGAGAAGGGGAGAAAGCCTGGATGGAAGTGTGAAACTAAAGTAGTGACCAGTCTGGCACAATGTCTTACACTTTTGCACTTGTCAATCAAGGCATGCACATCCCCAAACATAATTCTACATAAGTCTTAATAACCTGAAATCACTTCAAAGACAATTGTTATGCCATATTAGTTTATTGTGCAAAAATACTAACTTTTAAAAAATAAGACAATGGATATTCAGACACAAGTGCACTGGCTTTAGCTTAAGATGGACTTAACCACACAACTCTCTCTCTCCACAGTAGATTATTGCGCTGCTTCATTGTGTTTTAAGGCCTCCTGTGTGTCCTCACCAGACAAATCATTGTCCAATGCATCTTCGTCTGGCAGCTAGACGTCTGGGATCTTTATCCGTCTTCAGTGTTTGCATTCCTCTGTGTTGGAAGCTAGATATTACGTCAAACACATCATGGGAAGACACATGAAAGAGCCAGGGCGAACCAGACGGAAGGGGAAAAGGGGGGAGAGACAGGGAAGAGGAGAAGGCACCGGCATAATGTGGACCACCTGTGTAAGGTGATCGCCACCGCTCAGGCATCGGTGCAAAGAGGAGGGCGAGAGAGAAAACACAGTCATACCAGCCGTTAACTCATTCATTACACAGCCGGTCTCAGAGTCGTTTTGCAGTGAAGTGGAGGGAAGGGAGGGTAATAAAGATGAGAAGAAGGGAAGAGCAGAAAACTAAACCCATAAGAAGTGTAGTAGATGTGAAGAGTGGATGAGGAAAAGGACTGAGCAGAGAATCCTTCTGAGGTTACACACTTGAGTCTCCATCCCAAATCTAAATGTCATGTCACACTTAAGAGCTCTTAGGACAGCTTGGATTTCATGAATGAATCATTGGCACAGATGCTCAGCAAAGAAGCAAAGCAGACAGACTTCTGGCCGAGATTTTTTTTTAGGCCTGTTTCATGACCTGCCGTCACTAAACCTTTCCTAACACACTCACAGTGTCCCAAAGATTGTTTCTGTGAAGAAGTCATTTGTGATTTGAGCATTTATGGTGCTCGATGTGATGTGTTGAAAATGTCGTCTCGCTTTTCAATCCCCTGCTCATTCAATTCTCCTGTGTCTCTCAGTCCGTCTGGGGGAGGCAAGTACTGTCTTGGAGAGAGGAAACGCTACAGATCCTGTAACACTGACGTGAGTTTCTTATTTTCTTTGTTTTACACTGTCCGCTTGGTTTTTAGAGGAAAGTGTACAACTTAAAGTTTTTTATATCACAATTTCAGGTTGATATTCTTACCAAACCCTCTCTAAACATTAGTCTTATTGTCCAACTGCCATATTCCAAATATATTCACAACATTGAGCATAATGAGTGGCAGTGAGTGGCGAGACAAGCAGTCACCGTACCACTCACAGACGTCTTTTGTCCTAGGTTTTGCCACTCAGACTGTATACAGGCTGCCCTACCTTACTGACTTTGTACCTATCAGCAACAAGGAAAAGCTCTGACTCCATTATTTTGTCACTGGAAGTAAGAATGTGTGACATTAGCTGTGTCTGAATTCAGGGGTCACATTGTTCCTGCCCTTACTGCTGTACTGAAATAGTTATTTGATTGAATAAAAACATTGAAAAGGTGTTTTTATAACATATGCACCATTCGGTTCAGTACTTGTATCCAAAAATAAATTCTTCTGACGTTTTTGAGAAGTGCAATAAATCCACCCGTTGACGAATCCATTGCTCTGGGGTGAAAGTACATCGCATTTAGAGGTGCCTTCGAATTGGGACAGTCTAGTTACACTGCTGTGACACAATCGGCCTTCAAATGCAGCCCCCAAACTGAGACATAGCTCTGATAAGATTAACATTTGGCATTCTGCAGACTACATGACTGACTGACAGAGATTCTAGAGTTTATACTACAGCAGACTGATGAAGGGCAACATCAATTATAGCGTATAATGATTCATCGTAATGTGTTGCTATGTGTCTTTATCATATGTGTATAACAATATGATATCATAGCAGAATAAATTGTTTGATTGTGGCTATTAAATATGTGCAGAAACTCATCCGATTACTTACACTATGGGATTATTATTGTGTAACAAGCTGTTTATTCCAAACTCTATTACAATTAAATGTATATATAATATAACATTATTAGTTGAGAGGCTGTGGTTTATTCAGGGTGACGGTCCTTCTTAAAGGGGCTTCCTGACAATAAACAAATCTGGCCTATTGATTGCTTACAAAATAACTTTACAACCTACAACATCATGATGATAAGTGAGCATTAGTTCAACGCAGAAAAAAGTCTAGCTAAAATACTGCTAAAGCACAGTAAGGTAGTAAACCAGTAACCTATGCTGAATGCAACTTTGTGCCTGAGGTCAACTTTTTAATGGACTCAGAGTCAGTGGCCTCATGACCTGGTCAAAAATATGAAGCTGTGTTCTCCACTAATTTAAATAGTGTGATCTGATCCAGCCCTTGACATTTGACTTGTCTTTATTATAGTCATCAATAGCACCCACATGTTAAGGATATGGATATGGCATGAACAAACAAAACATGGATTTGCTCTGGTTTGTTAAAGACTGAGGTAGTTGGTTTGTTGAGGCATTTCTGTGTCAGGATGGATTTGGCCCGCCACAGCATGACTGCTGCACCTCCTCTTTGCTGCTCCGTGTTTCTCCTGCAGAACATGTTATCCTAGGAATGGCTCTACAAGGAGCGCAGAGATCAGCTAGCAGCATCAATTCACCTTTAAGCTGTCTGACATGCTTTCTTTCTGGAACGCAGGATAGAAGATCATAAAAATGCACAAGGCTGTGATTCTATACTCCCCTGGTGACTCTGGGTCTTATTCGTCTCTTTGTCACTTTATAATTCATATATTATTTGTGACATTTCACTTAAGTCAACGATGATGGCCATTTCAGAGTGCATTTCATGAAAAGCAATTCAAGGATCTTTTTTTTGAGGTCTGGAGCAATGCTTAAAACAAATATTTAACATGGCTGCAAGTTGATATCTCAGTTCAACTATTTCTAGGTGGCCTTTTTTTTTCACTAGGTGAAAATTGAAATAGTTAGGGTCCTGGTGGACTTTTAACCGCAAGTCTTAAAAATAACAGTTGAGACCAAGCACTGAGTATTTTCTTTGGAAAACAAACAACACCCCAAAC